AAGGAATGCCCGGGGAGGCCTCGAGGGAAAGCAAAAGGCAAAAAGTGAACCTAGGATTCAGTACCTGTAGGTGTTTGGTATTCTGTTCTGTTTTGGACAAAGTATACATTGAAAACCTGAGAGCCTCACAATGGGGAACATAGTGACGTTTTATTTGCAATGTTTTCCTGTAAAGTTAATGGACTCTTTTTTTTTTTTTTTTAAATCTTATGATTTCTGTTCTGGGTGGTTGTTCTTTGGTTAAAGTTGCCCTGCTAAAGGGTGGAATGTAATAGCATGCTCCAAGAATTTCTGATTTTATACATACTCTGTGTATGCACTTGTAAACCACTTCTGCCTGGAGAAGCCCTTGATTCTGTAGCGAGTGCAGAGTGGATAATGATAAGCGTTAAAAGTAATTTGGGGGACGCACCTTTGTAGCAGAGATTTTGTGAAAAAAGAGTAGAAACCTGCTTAAAAGAAATAACTTTTTTTTTTGTCTTTTGAGGGTGGTATTTATAGCTGTTTGTTTCTTTAATTTTGCTGCTTTATTTATGGTACATTAGACTTTTAAAATTCATAATTAAGTTATTCTTTGAGGGCAATCATTATACTTTGTTGAAAATGTGAATGTCCTCATTTGTGTTTTGAATGAGATGTCTTTTAATCATTAACCTTTGGAAAACACTTTCCTTTTACACATCACACATGACTGATAATGCAGAAAGACAGGAAGGAAAATAGCCTTTCACAGACTCGGTCATGGTGATGGGACCATCCTACCTTTAGAAAAGAATGTACATGAATGATTTCCTAAAGTCAAAGTACACGAGACTTCCAACGTATATTTAAAAGACATTTTGAAGGTTTGAGGTTTCACATGATACATGGTCAGCTAGAAACACGGCATGTCAGAACTCTTTCATGCTTTCTAACAATAAGGATAGCCATTCTGAGCTAACCTAGTTGGATGTTCAAGCCAAGTAGAAAGCCTGCACCGAGCCATTCAAAGACTTGGAACAAATGAAAAGGGAATTGGGTTAGAGAACAAGGTAAACCTTGATTACACTTCAAGTATAGCCTCTCAAAGAAAATAATTTTAAAAGTCTACCTGTCCACACTGAAGACCAGAATAAAGAGCACAGTAAAGCAAAACCCGCAATAGAGCACGGCAAACTATGTGTAATTATTTTGTAAAATCTCTAATTCATGTGCTATACATGCATTCTTTCAGTTATGTGCTATACTTCTTCTCAAAGAAAAAAGGATCCAGTACAATTATGAATGATGGAAAGATTCTCTTTACATTGTTTCTTTTTTTCCCCTCCTCCCAATTTTCTGGGCCTTTGCAAGGGAAGTGGTTAATCCTCTAATAAGAAGAAATAGACACTAACTCTGGGTCCCTTTGCTAACAGTGAAGCGCCCTGCCAGAAGGTAGTGAAGGTAGTGAAATTGCTAAACTGCACACAAGTCAAATTACTTTATAACTACAGACTAACAAACAAGTCGGCAATCTACTGTAATACCCTTACTACATAACATCTGAGTAGAACTCACAGGGCTTTCCAAGTGGAAACTGAGATCCATGAGAGAGGGACATAAAGAAGGTGCCACTGAAAAATCTATGTCATTGTCTCCCAGATTCTCAAACTGGGAGTCCTACTGTGATTGCATTTCTTTATTGTAGTTATTGTAAAGATTTCCCCTCTCTGTTTTCTTCTCATGATTTGCTGGCTTCTGAATGTCCCACCCAAATCCTTTACCTGGAGGGGAGAGGAAGCATAGATAGCATAGTGAGTAATGAACAGTCCCTACAGGCAGGGGTGGTGAAAAGAGGAAAAATACAAGAATGAACTGGTTCTAAGACATACCTCTAGAAGCCCAACTCTCTTCAAATACCAGGGCACTCCCGGACACACACAGATGGCACTGCCAGGATCAAGAGTATTTAAGGTCAATTATATCCAACTTGGTGCCCGGCTGGTGTTGCTCAGTAGTTGAGCATCAACCTATGAACCAGGAAATCACGGTGCACTTCCAGATCAGGGCACATGCCGGGGCGTGCAGGAGGCAGTTGATTAATGATTCTCTCATCATCAATGTTTCCCTCTCTCTCACCCTCTCCTCCCCTTTATCTCTGAAGTGTGTGTGTGTGTGTGTGTGTGTGTGTGTGTGTGTGTGTGTGTATGTTTAGATAATATCCCACTTGGGAGGCAGTTTAGCAGAGTGAGTAAGATTGTGAACCTAGAATCAGACTGCTCAAGTTCAAACTCTGGCTGTAAAATTTATCTGCATCTGACTAGTTCCTTCATTGATAAAATGGATATAATAGTAATCACAGTGTTCTTATGAGCCTCCACAGAGATAACTCATGACACAAATCCAGGCACATGATGAGCCCTTCATAAAGCTGAGACCTTACTACCTACTGAGTTCCTACTAAGTGCCAGGTGCTTTCCCTGAATTGTCTTCGATCAATACAACTTTCCAAAAAAAAAAAAAAAAAGCTATGATTATCCTCATGTTATAGAAAAGTCTTAGGGAAATTAATTAGCTTTCCTACATGCCTTGTTATTGACCAGTATTCTCCAATGCAATGTGAGATCAATCTAGGTCAGTCTGCTACAGCAAAATCATAGTACTCTTGTCTGAAACTTCATCTGAACTTTTAGTATCAGAACCAGCCTGGGACTGCCCGACTTCTTGAAGTGAAAACACAGTTCTCAAATAATAATAACTCTGTGTGCCAGCCATGTTGTTGTGCCCATTTTATAGATGAAGAAATCTGAGGAACAAAGAAATTATTTGACTAGGTCCACATAGCAGAGTCCCACTCACACCATTTTTTTCTTAGTGCGAACCTCGTGCTCTACCCAGGATGTTACCATTCTTGCTTTCTCTCAGAGAGTATTGATCCGTGCACTCTGAAATTCTCAGGTTCTCCCCCAAAAGATCCTTCTGAACCCTAGCCAACGTGGACCACAAAGAAAAAAGGAAAGTGCACTCTTTTCTGCTCCCCAAGGTGTAGGGAAAGTTGGTTTCAAATGTCCAGTGAGGAATATTTTTACCATCTTTCTGCCAAGAGATGTTATCAATGAGAGTATTCAGTGTCTAGGAAAAAATCACAGCCCATGAATAGTTTAACTTACAGGCTTTTTAGAGAGATAAAGACTGGTTATCATCTACACTGTTGCAAAGATGTAGCCACTAGCTTTTCCTACATATTTGAAAAGAAAAATTCTTTGAGAATAGACACTGGGTCTTTTTCATGCCCAGCAGACAAACAGAACTGCAAATGTGGCCTTGGTTGTGGGAGGGTGCAGGGGGCCCTCTGGACCCACAGATCTCTGAGGCAAGGTGGGCGCTCCCTGTCACGTGGAATGTGCATAAACACTCAGAAAGTATGGGGCCGATTGTGACCATGATTGAAACAGGATGCAGTTCCTACGTACCCCTCAGGCATCCTCCGTGTTGCTACTTTTAAGTGTGTGTTGTCATGAGTATTAGACAACCACTGCCTTCAGGGGCACCTGCTTATGGACACTCTGTTTTGAGAGAGGACGAAGATGCACAAATAAGGGGTGGAGGGCAAACCGGACCTTAGCACAACTTATGTAGACATTTGGGGTCTTGGCAGAGTCAATATCAATCATGGCCAGCAGTTGGGGGCTTATCATAGTTAACAGTGATCATTGAGACAGGCTAAGTCTACAGCATGGCTGCATTTTGGCCTTGTGTATTTTAAGAGTATACATTTTGTCCTGACACTGGATTAGGTAGAAGATGACACCAGATGGAAATAATGATTTAAGTTGCTATAGCAACTATTATCTTAAATACTTAGAGAAGGAATCTTTTGGGAAGCTTTCTGGGTTCCATAAGAGACAGTACCATTTCAAGTGCTTTAAAGAAAGGGGCAAAAGGATGCAGGATGGGCACTCTGCTTTGGGACAAAGATGGTAGAGTTTTCCGGAGCTGCCTTTTATCTTTCCTGGAGCCCCATCTTAGTGGCCAGACTTCTGAATGGACAGTCCCAACAATGCCCTGCTTAGAAGCTGTATTTTCTGTGCGTAAAAGCATGTGTGATGCAAAAAAAAATGCTCTTGTACTTCCTTCCAAAGGCATTAACTGTGAAATTTTGGACTGTGATGAAGACATTTATCTTCCTCATGTTTCCATTTCTATTTTTCCCTGTCTGTATTTAAGCACTGCTAATGTAGATTTTAGAAAAATCATGGTGATGGATTAGGGCCCTTGAGTTATGTAATTCCCTCACCATTTTTCTTTCCTTCTCCAAGGAAAATCTAAGTGTCACCATGAAAACTTTATATTTGTTTAGATATATGGTTGACCCTTGAACAAAGCAAGGTTTAGAGGAGTCAACTTCCTACAGAGTCACAAATTTGAGTGTAACTTTTGACTCCCCAAAAACTTATCTACTAATTGCCTACGGTTAACCAAAAGCCTTAACGTAAGTAATCAATTAATACATATGTTGTTTGTTGTATACATTAAATATTATATTCTTACAATAAAGTAAACTAAAGAAAATGTTATTAAGAAAATCATAAGGGAAAGAAAATACATTTACACTATTTATTTTTTAAAAATTCACATGTAAGTGGGCCCACACAGTTCAAATATATGTTGTTCAAGGTTTAACTGTATATATTTTCCCACAACTGAACACTTGTTATCTGTAGGGTTAAAAACATACTACTGTATATTTTTTGTTTTCTATAAAAAGAGCATTGTTTTTCTGTCTTTCAAAAATCATGAATTTGTATATGGTTCTATCACTATGTTTTATTATGATCATTTCCTTTAACTCACAATATTATAATGCTGAACAACCTAGTTATAATGTTCTGGGAATGATTGCTTTTGTTGAAGTACTGTTTATATGTGTAACCACAATTTCAATTCAGCTTTTGAGGTACTAGTCCATCATGTTATCCTGAAATTTTGCTGACTAAAATCTTAAAGATTATGTTCACCTCTACTCTTCTTCTTTTTTTTAGGCTCAGAAATCCTGGATAGAAAGAGCATTTTATAAAAGAGAATGTGTTCACATAATACCCAGCACCAAAGACCCCCATAGGTAATTTTGCTGTCTTTATCGTGTACTGAGAACATAGAGTAGCAACTATGGGAAAACTACGATAGTTAGCACTATCTCATTACATGTAGACCAGTGTGAAATTAAAGTTCAATTTTTGTTGCTGGGCATCTTTGCAGCAATCACATATACACATACCACATAATATGCCATCTTTGCAGTGAATTCTCTAAGAATCTATACAGAATAACAAATATACCATCAGGGAAAGAATTAATCACTGTAACTAAGATGGAATATATATATATGGAATATATATATATTCCAATATATATATATATATTCCATTCTAATATATATATATATATATATATATATATTAGAATGGTTACTAGTTTTCCCTTTTAAGCATTTCATCAAAATACTTCTTTGTACCAACATGCATTGCTAAGTGAAAAGGAGAGTTTTAAATTAATGACTTTTAGCAGATTACTAATTTGACTGCAGACCTTCAAATTCCTATCCAAGCACATTTTTTTTAATATTCTGCTTACCTTTTTGAAAATCAAAAGAGTGAGAAGTATTTGGGATAAAGTAACATATCAATATCTGGAAACGCCTTTTTTAAAGGCAATGTAGTAAGCAGTTTAAAATATATACTATAGAGTCATATAGACTAGGTAACCTTGAGAAATTATCTGACCTTCAAAATTACAGTATTATACTCATAAAGTGAATTCCACACTGTTAGCATTTAATAAATGGTAACTATGTATCAGTGTTATAACGGTCATCATAACTGCAGTGGTAGGAAAGTCCGAAGGACATTTTCATGGGTTAAGGAGTGAATTTTGTTTTCAGATATCTTGTGAAGAATTCTTTCATTGTTTCTTTAAGAACACTTTAGCACTTTAGCTGCTGAATTTTTCCCTCTGAATTGGCTTTTTGACACTGAATGTCAATTTGGAAAAAAGACAAGTTAGGTAGTGACTCACCTATGAGTGAGATTCCTCATTTAAATGTGCATATTAACATTCTTCCCTGGGAGCTGTGTCCCTTCTGCAAGATTTGATCGACAGAAGGAGTAAGAAGTAAAAACATCTACAGAGCTTTTGTTCGCAGAGTCCAATCTTGAACAATATGGCAGGTGTGAGGGGGGTGGGTGGAGAACGACAGGAGACATGGTACAGCTAACACCGCTGAGGGGAAAAAAGAGGAGGTGGCAGAAAAGGTAAATCCTGAGTGTCTCATGTGCCTGAGACAACCACAATATGGGATTCCACCTGAAAACTGACTGACTGGCTTGCTACAGACCGTAGATTTTCCAGCCTCAAATATGTATCCCAGTGGCAGCTAATCCAGTGGTTCACTCTGGCCTCCTCTGTTACAGGTGCTGCTGTGGACGTCTAATAGGCCAGCACGTGGGCCTCACTCCCAGTATCTCCGTTCTTCAGAATGAGAAAAATGAGAGTCGCCTCTCCCGGAATGACATCCAGTCCGAGAAGTGGTCCATCAGCAAGCACACTCAGCTCAGCCCCACGGATGCTTTCGGGACCATTGAGTTCCAAGGAGGTGGCCATTCCAACAAAGCCATGGTAATCAGAAAAAAACATTCATTTCCCAAATTATCTCACAAGTCCTCCGAGGCAATGGTAAAGAGCTGGAGATTTACTCTTTAGACCTAATCCAAATCCTGCCGTTTCCTGGCTGGGTAGCCTTCTCTGATTACCGTATCCTACATATCTACACTCTTTCCCTATAAAATGAGGCAAACAAACCTCCCTCTGAGGATTAGTATGAGATCAGACATGTGACTGCTGTTTTTATTCATAATAAGTAGCTTTCAATCCACTATTTATGATGCTACTTTCTGGGTCTCCTTGTTAAAACATGTTTTTCTAACTCCTTTGGTTAAAAAAAAAAAAAGAAAAGAAAAAGATCTTACCTTTAGGTTTCTATTTTGTCCTATTGGTAACTAGGATTTCTCTCAATTCAAAGTAGAAATGATCGTGCCAGTCTATTTTCTTCTCTCTTCTATCAGATGGAGTGCTTTTTCTCCAAGCAGCTGTGTCCAATAATGTTCTCAATGGAAGCGCTCCATATGAAAAGCATTTTTCTTTGGAAAGGAAGCCTTAGGAAATAAACACATTTTAGTTCTCAGAATTGTCACTTCTAAATTTCAACTTTCGTCATGGACTTCTCCCTACTTGGCTGTCAGATTTTGCCAGGAGAAATGTATAGCATGTGTTTTTTTGGAAATTCTAGAAATGCTGTATTCCAACAAGCTTGCTTCTGTTGAAAGAGAGATTGTCGAGGGTGGAGCCGTTGGAGGTGGCTGTAGTCAGGCATGCCACAGAGGCTTCTGAGTTCAGAGAAGCATACTACAAAATGTAACTGCTTCACACCAGTTACAATCCAGAAATGGACAACAAAGCCATTCCTCTTGTCTTTTTTCTCTCCTCTCCCCATTCTCACATCTGCACCCTGCCCCCCCTGCCAACTGCAATATTTTCTTCACCATGAATAGCTATAATCTATTCTCACCGTTTTTCCCTGAGAAACTTAATTCTAAGCTATATATTAGATTAAAACCAATTTTGAATAATATATTGGAGAAAAAGAGATGCTATATGCTACTGCCAGTGAGGACTGGCAAAAGAAAGAAGGGTTAATCTAGGCCTGTACAGAAGTAGGGAAATGGAGATGGTAACTTCCACATCCAATTAAGGGATGCATTTTCCTACACAAGATCATTTAGGGTCCCTAGCTCAGCACAATCCCCATTCACAGTCTGGATTCAATCATATACAGTGTGGGTCTTCTTGAACCATGCATTAATTAAAAGTCATGCACACTTTCCCTATAAGAAAAGTACCGCAGGAGAGGAAGTGGCTTGTAGGCAATAATCATAGAGCGGCACTCCCAGTGACTCATAGGGTCCTTGAATGATGCCAGCAAGTATCATGCCACAAACTCAGAGGCACATGGTAAATAAGCTTCTAGTCATTATTTCCTCTGTTGGAATGCAGTGTCTGTCAAATTGAGCATTATTTTGCTCATAAGTAAGAGTGTTCCTCCAAAGTGATCACCTGGGGAGATGCTAATTACCATGATGCTTCCAGTGACCAGGACATATTTTGGACTGATTTGTGTTTAACTAGAGGCCTGGTGCATGAAAATTCATGCACAGTCTGGCCTTCCCCCTCTCACAGTCCAGGAGCCCTCAAGGGAAGGAGGTGACTCGATGATCAGGGGAATGTGACACCCCAACACACCTCTGCTGCTGCGCTGCTGCTGCTGCCACTGCCGGCAGCCAAGCCTCAGCTGGCCCTGGTTACCTGAGCCTTGAGTGGCTCTGGGTAGCCGGGAAGTCACCATCTGAGGTTTGCCTGTGCCTTGGGCCAGCCCTGGGCAGTTGGGGGGCTGAGGGAACTGGGGGACTCCATCTTGTGGCTGTAAGCACCACCAACTTTGAGGGTAGCAGTCAATTAGCATATCCCTCTTTATTAGATAGGACAAGTGGGAGTCCACACTATTCAGGCACAATGCACATTATTTCCACTTTGAATATTTGCCCTTGACGTATTTTGATTCTCCTGTCTAGAGAAAGAAGTTGAGTTGTCCAAATGTCATATGTCTTGCTTTATTTGGCAGGATGGTCATTTGCACCAATTTTATTTTTCGACCTCTTCAACAAATAAGGTTGCAGTTTGGACAAAGGGAAAGTCAGAAACTACTGTCTGTGAAAGAGTGCCAGCCTTTAGATGGGAAGCTGTGGTAAATTTTTGGCCAGGATTTAAGTGAAACAAGTCAACTAACTTAATATGTCTTTGGTCACCTGCTCCTGACAAAATATTTGAAAGTTGAAATGATTTTTAGCAAAGTGGTCAAAAATTCTAGAGGGAAGATTAACATTGACCTTCATTAATTTTTTAAAAAATAAGGTATAACATTAACTGTTCCCTTTAAGACAACCCAAGATGAAGTGCTTGGGTCTTCAAAATGCCGATGTGGTCTGGACACAGGTGAGACAGAGACTGCTGGAGTTTGGTGGAAGATACAATTGGAATAAAGAGAATCATTATTAAAATTATTTTCATTATTATTAAAATTATTAAAACCATACCTGATCAGGAGCACTATATGCCTGTGTTGCCACAGGCAGTACAGCACCATGCTCCAGAACTCTGGGCTCCAAAGACACTGGAGGGATCATGTGCAGTGGCTCTCAGCCTGGAGGCTCTGGAGTACTACAGAGGCTCCTACAGATGCTCATGTAAGAGTCTCCACCAGAGAGTCTCCTTCATTGGTCTGGGATGAAACTGGCATCCAGTGTTTTTGTTATTGTTGTTGTTGTTGTTGTTGATGTTGTTGTTGTTTTAAGTTAGCCAGGTTATTCCAGCCAGGCTTTAAAAATGCTAAATAATCCCAAATCTCTCTGCCTGTCTTATATGGAACCCAGTCAAGTTGAATTATCTCCCAAGAGTTACACAATTATTTAATGACAGAGACAGTTCTCAAATTCAGGCTCCTCAGGACTCCCCAGCAGTTATGTTTCTTCTCTGCCCTGCGTGCCTGGCACACACTATAGTTGTGTTTTGAAAGGAAGCTAATTGCCATTATTTTCCTAGCTTTTTATAAGGATTCTGCAAACTTTGTGTTAGAGATAAAAGATCACTATTATTGGATGAGCTTCATGAGATGCAGAAGCTATGAACGGGAAGATCTCTTGGTCAAATTGCATCCTAGGCTGTTAATAGAACCATGTTCTGAGTCCTTCCTAGTCCTTTGTAGTATTCATCTTCAATTCCCAGGCTTGACAAGCTCTAGTAAAACAATGAATCCAGCCTCTCTTACACATTGCAAAGAAACTGTGACACAAGAAGGAAATATTCAAAGCTCTCAGTGAATGAAGGATCCTCACTCTTTTTTCAATACCAAGCCATGTATTACCAAAGGTCATGTCCCCAAACAAGGCACTCCTTGGCTTCTGGGGGACCTGAAGCATCATAAAAGTCAGAACAGGGGACCAAAGTCAAAGAGATGTAGATACTAAAACTCTGGTTTCACTGTTGTCTTACAAGGGTGGGTGTTTCAGGTAACCTTTTAAAACTGCCTTAGAGAGCAATAGCAAGAGAGAACACCATCGGACATTGAGTCCTTCCCCAAAGACTTCTTTATCTGAGGCTAAGATGGTTATTTAGTAAAGGAACCATGCTACACTTGATGAGACAGAATCTTATTTGCTTACTTATCATCTCTTTTAATTAATGCTGAGCTGTCTTATGGACAAGGTAAGTATAAGCTAATTAAGAGCTTGTATTTAAACCTCTCAAGTCACCCAGATAATTCTCAGGTTTTCCCTTGCTATTTGCTCTGCTTATTAGAATAGGTTGAGCTTCTTATTACAATTTTCATACAACTGATGTAACTGTTCTTATGCCTCATTTTCATACTTAAAGCTCTAACTATGAAAGCCTGCCAAGATGAAAGCCTCATTGTCTGGGCATTGTTGGTAGAGGATAGCAGGAATGAGGGAAGACTGAGGGAGAGACCCTAGATTGGGGGTGGAGAGAGGCATCTACAACCTTGTACTCCTAAAATGTTTTGGGATTGAATTTGACTCTTTAAACATTTGTTATACAGTGCATTATGCAACTTTGATCTGGGAATCATCATTGACTCACACACAGCAAATACGAAATTAAAGGAATCCACTTTGTAAAACAAAATAGGGAATCACTAGACTATGGCTAACTAAGCAACTTTCCATAAGCACTGGGAGGTATTGGGGAAGGGGTGGGGAGGCAGGGAGGTTGTAATTGCTCCATTGATTTCCAATTTTCATCTTGTAGTTTCCAGACCATTGTACCGACAGTGCCTTCTGAATCTGAGACTAAAACTAGGATTTGTTACTGAAACTTCTGATCCCGATCATAGACCTATAGAGAGGGAAGATCCAACTTTCCTCAAGGAACCCATCTGCCCTCTAGAAAATTCTCTTCTCCTTGCTTCTAAAAGAGTTTACACTAAGTAATTCTAGCAGAAAAATCGTAGAGAAACCCCTGTGGCCTGTTCATATTCTCAGTGAAGTTTTATAATTATTTCTAAACCATTAGCTTTGGCTTTTCAGCATCCATGACCTGGAAGTACCCAAGTCTCTAATACTGAGGAATTACAAAAACAATATGGAATAAATTACAATGGCATTTTCACCTCCAAAATGTTGTGAGTCATCAAACTAGGAATCCAATAACAGTGGCACCACACATTTACATTCCCTACATTTTCTTTCTAAGGAGCTTTTACAGGTATTAAACCACTGGAAGTATTCAACTCCTGCTGCAAAGCACAAGGCTCCCCAAGCTTGAAAAGCTAATATCAGCAAAATTATCATAGGAGTCCAGTGCACCATATTCTCCTTGGCCACAGCTTTAATTAAAGCGCTCATCTGAAATGCGGCTACAAAGAATTAGAAAATGAAATGATGCTTGTCACATCTCTTAAAAGAAAGGGAAATGGGGCGCATTTCCCACTCCAGGCTTATAAGAAAGGCATTAAGAATACATTAAAATGGATATTAGCATTAGGAGTT